ATTCCTGTAGCATCTGGGTTGAGGTATTTTTATGGCTGCGTACTTGCTCTGTGCAGAAATGTTAAAGTATCTACTGAATTAAATACAGTGATACCTTGTTTATAACTCGGCAATGAGTATTTTTCCACACTGTCCCTTGGTAAATGGCATTCAGGTTTTGCTTGTCCATGTTAACCTTTTGTGTAAACTGGATTAGGCAAACTCTGATTGTTTGCATCAACTGGGACATTTAGAAGTGTTTGACCTTAACAAGGAATTTATTTTATGTATCTATGGAGATAGATTGGAAGAGATAAAAAATAGAGATTATTTCTTTTTAAAATGACAGCATTTTAACCAAGTATTTGGAGCATTTCTTCACAGCCCTGAGACAGAGCTATTCTGGTCTGCAACGCAGCTCAACGCCACTCGGTTATTTCTGTCAGTCTGGTGTAAGGTGTAGGAAATCCTCTTCTCCTGTGCTTGTTTCTGTGGCTTGCAGTGCTCTGGTTTGAGGAGGACACCATGGGCATCGTGCTTGTGTCACACAGCGAAGAACATTTTCAACTTTAATTGAAGTGTGACCTGTATTTGGGAACACAGACACAAATTCCCCAACCCCACATAATATGGAGGGTAATGAGAGGGCTATTTCAGTGAAGTAGGACTTGATTTCTCTGGCTGAAGCATCTTCTCTTGCTTCTGTTTCACGACTTATCATTTCTGTGGGCAGAGTAACAGGATGAATTAAGAATGTCTGGTACTGAATTACTAAGAGCTTTTTACCAGCAGGTACCTGGCTTGGGTTCTAACCTAGCCAAAAGACTTGCAACTTGGTGACTGCATGGTGCCCTTCGTGCAGGGCCCATCCCAGCTCTGCTGTGGAAACTAGCAGTGCCTGTGGGAGCCTGGTAAAAGCCCATGCAGAGAGGCTGTGAATTGCAAAGGTGAGAAAGCTGAATTAGTGCTTTGAGAAGTTCCTGGATACAGGAGGTAGGAATATTCTGGTAAAGGGAACTTGTGTTTCTGTCAGTGTACTAATTATGTGGTTTTAGTAGTAGGCTGTCTCCAGTACTGGCAATCCCACTTCTTTCACGCGTATTCATGTCAGAAAAGGAATATAATGCCGGGATTGTGGGAAGAAAACTTCACTATTCTCAAGCACACCTTCTATTTTTAACTCTGAAATTTCTGTGGTGCAAGCCTTTTTGCCAAGTAGTTGAGCGTGTCTGTACATACAAACTAAGATTTGATCCTGTTTTATCTTGGCTTCTCCACACAGCAGTATGATTTAGATCTCATTTATACAAAAATTTTGCTTTGGTAGTGCAAGTAATGTATTTGCACTTGACATAAAGAAATCAACTTTCACGGGGTTTCTACAGAGATATCCTCTTGTGGGAAATGTGTGTTAGTGTGTGTGAGTCTTTCTTCTGCTTGTTGCTTTATGTCCCAGATAAAATACCAGCTCATTGCCGTACTTTGCCATTTCAGAACAATCTCCAGCAACTACTGTGATTAGAAATTGATCGCTTGGTCATTCTTTGTGTTCATAGTCCTGAAGTTACGAGGTGTTAAGTTTGTTGAAAAAAATGTCTCTATGACCATTTTCTATGGCTTTCAAGGGGCAAAATTTTGCATTCGTAGCTGGTAAAAAAACCTAGCAATTGTTATCCTGCAGGCTCTGTTGCTATTTGCTCTTTTCTTGCTGGTTGACTTTTCAAACTTACTTGAACAGAATGGCTGTAGAAAATGGATGGTTGTCTTGATCCTGGTTGTCACAAGTCAGAAAAATGTCACCTGTAAATATTTAATGAGCCTTTGTGCAACTGACCTGATCGAGAACTGAGTAATGATGTGGTCGCAGGAGTCGTGGCTTCTGTAACCCCAATCTGCAAGGAAAAGAAAGCACCTTTCCTTTGCCAGGCTTTCTGTGACTTATTAGGCTTGTATTATTGGTAGCTTTTTTCTTAATATGAAAAGTAAGTGGTGTTTGTTTGGAGCTCTGCCTTAACAGCCTTCTCTTTCTTACCTAGCTTGGTTTTCTGTGTGGGTTTTCTATATGTTTTTTCTGCGTGGGCTTCCTGCTCCTTGCAGAAAGGCAACAGAATGCTCTTCTCTCCCCTTGGCCCTATCTCTGCAGACAATAAACCCCCACTTTTTTATCTTCTTGTAGGTTGTCAGTCAATTTTTGCACTGTCCCTCTGTGCTGGAGAGCGAGTTCAAACCCAGTTCAGAAGTCTGTGGTGAGGAAATGGTCTTACTTAAAAGGAAAAATCGGAATTAGATGAGTTGGAACTTAACAACACTACTAAAGCTGCTCTAAGAGGAAAGTTATGAAACACAGAAGAACAGCTTTGATTTTCAGCATGCTAGTAACTATTGAAATCTACAATTTAAAATCCTCCAAGCAATATGGGAA